GTGGCGCAGCCTTCCCAGATATTGTTGGCCAGCATGCGCTCCCAGCGGACGACGCAATGCCGCGTGACGGGGACGTCCATTATCTGCACCAATGCGGACGCCCCAGAATGGCCCATGTTCCTCCGAAGTGCCAACTGATAGCCCCCCGATATAGTCATGCAGGCACGGTGGGCGCCCACTTTCCGCCTCCTGTTGACCTTGATCCCGCCGCCCGCCGATGCGACTGCAGCTCTGCGGGCCAACCTGAGCTCTTGCTCTGCCTTCGTCGCCCTGGATCGCCATCTGGTGGCCTTGGCGCGCTCGCGGGTCAGCAGTCGGTTCACCTGCGCGATGCGCTGGTTGACAGCTGTCCTGCCGACTGGAACGAGTGGCAGGGCACGGGCGCGGGCGCGGCGACGCGGCAGCTGGCGTGCCGTGTCCACTGGGACAATGGCTCCGCCTCCGCCGCCTCCGCCTCCAGCGCGGTGGGCCCCACCTGGGCGGCGGCGGCAGTCAAGGCGATCACTGATCATCGAGTAAGCCCTCTCTTCGATGTGAGCCATTCGATCAGCGGCCAACATGATGCCACAATGCCGCGCAGCGTCGCGCAACGTGCTGACGCTGAGGATGCCAGTGGGGACATGATCAGCAGCCCAGTCCACTGAAATTGCAACTTGCCGACGCAACTCTGACTGCTCACTCTGGGAATCTGCGCCATGACCAGATGCCAGCAGCGCATTACACAATAAATTCACAGCGATGCGACGAGACGGAATCACAACCGTGCCATCTGGCGCGATCGTCGCATGCTGAACAACGCCTTGTGCGAGCGGTATGTGCACATCCATTCTGTCATGAATGGAATGGAAGATGGAATGTTACATTGAGCCAAAACGGCAACGGCCGATCATCCTCTGGATCGCTTTTACCCGGGAGCTTCCTGGGGGTCTCTTGGGGGCCTCTTGGGGCTTTCTTGCAGCCTGTTGGGTATGGTTAGGGCCCTTCCAGGGCCGTAGGTAGAGGGAGGATCCAGAGTGAGAGGGGGAGGTTGTTGGGACTGAACGGTTGGTCGTCGGCGGCTGCGGATAGGCAGGAGGGGGCGGGCGACGGAGGAACGACTAGCAAAGAACTGGCAATGGAAACTTCGGGGAAAGCTTCGGGTTTCGGCGTCTAGGCTACCTAACGCATGCAACATTGCCACATGTGCGCACATATCGCGTGCTATCCATTGACAGCGCCTTCAGAAACATGGGTTTGGCCCCTAAATGTTCAACTACCCTGGGGGCAAATGCAAGTCAACAAATCCAATGCAACGCGTGCGCGGCAGCGCAATCTTTAGGATGCGTTGCCTTTTGCGGGGGATCGTTTTCTGATGTTTACATGTGTTGCACCAAGATTTCCGACATGCTATGTGGTTTCTCACGTGTAATGGCCCGTCTGCGTCACGCAACGCACGTATGATCCCTTCGTTCGGGAAACGCATAATTAATGAATTCGTCGTCGTAAAAATACACCATGCACGATAATGCCTCAATCCATTTTACATACATATAAGAAATATCGCCATTACGTTTCTTACGAAAACAAACTCCCGGTGCAAATTTGGAACTCCCCCCCGTGGAGTTCCAAACCGCCTGCTGGCCACCCACCCGGCAAGTTACAACGTCCCCATTGTACCGCTATTCACCCCCTGGCGCGAGGCTGTCCCATCACGCAGCCCTTTGGCCCAATGGAGGGCGCCCAGGGCCGCGTCGAGCACCGTGGGTTTTCCTGCCAGAGTGGGGGCACTGGTTATCAGTGGTGTTCGATCTGGTATACATTGGCAGATGGATTCCGCCGCCGATGCCGCCCCGGCGTCGGATATCCTGGCCAAGGGGGCGCCCGCGAGACCGCAGCCCGCCTTTGTGCACGTTTACTCTCACCGACGACTCGGACGACTCGAGCGCGACCGACCCGACCGAGGTTGACAGCGACGATGGGGGCAACATCAGATAAGGCTTTCGGGGCGAAGCGTCCTTCCGATCTCGGGGCCATGGCCCCGCCCCCAGGCCCTCTCCCTCCACTTGCACCGCGTCATAATATGGGGTCATTGCCAAGAGGCCAAGAGTCGCCCCGGCCCCCTCACTCTTATCCGCAATTGTGGCGTGGTACGTATACTGGCAACAAATATAATATAGTGTGTATGTATGTATATATATATATATCTATATCTACATACACGTTATTACCTTAGCCAGCTGACTGCGGCAAGTCCCGCTACCGCGCCCGCCCAGCTGTCTCGGTGGCCCATGTGCGAAAGATCACAGATGTCCTAAGCTGTGACGCGTTGTATCTCCAGGCTTGATGATGGGGGTGATGATGGTGGTGATGGCGACGGCGATCGGCGATGGTGATGGTGTGGATGAGGAGGCGGAGGAATGAGGAGGAGGATGAGGAGGAGGAAAAAGAGGAGGAGGAGGAGGAAGAGGAGAGCCGTCACATGTGTCACCTTCTCGTCTTGGGCCGTCTTGGGCCTCTTGGGGGTCCCGTTGGGGGTTTGGGAGGCTTCTTGGGGGCGACTTGGGCCATCTTGAGTTGAGGCCATCTTGGGCTGTTTTGGGTGCATCTTGCGCCGTCTTGGAAACATTTTGGATCTTGGGGCCATATGGGGCTCTCTTGGGGCCATCTTGGCAGTCTTGGAGGCCATCTTGGGCGTCTTGGAGGCATCTTGGGCAGTCTTTGGGCTCTCTTGGAGCCGTCTTGGGGGCTTCTTGGGCCGTCCTGGGGCATTCTTGGAAGTCTTGGGCGCTCTTGGGGCAATCTTGATGGCTTCTTGGGCCGTCTTGGGCCGTCGGAAGGCTTAAAAGGATTAGCCCCCCAAATCATTCAAAAACGTCGGGAATATCAATGAATTTGGCCTCTTGGGGCCCTCTTGGGCGGCCTCTCGGACCGCAAATCATTTTTTTGTTCATCGGGCCCTTAGGAAGTGAATATTGGAGGCTTCTTGGGCGGTCTTGACGGCTTATTGCGCGGTCTTCAGGCCATCTTGCGCCGTCTTGAAGCCAAATTCGGTCATTTCGGGCCCAGATCAGTGCGAGCTCTGGTTTTCCTGGATATTAATTAGTCGGGGAGGGTTTTAGCTTTAGCCTTTAGCAGGGCAGCGTGGGAGAGTTCAAAAAGTCGGGCATTCCCCAGGACGGAAAGCAGCTCACATGCCAGTTTCTTTGTGGATCAATATGGGGGGAGACGCCAGACCCCGTCGACCCAGAGCGGCAGAGCATCCGCTGGGAAAACGACACCACCGACGTGAGCGCCCCGTCAGTGAAGGGCGGCGGGGGGTGCTACTTCTGCTGCAGCGCCTGGAAGACTGAGGTGGCCGGCCAGACCTCGCACAGGAACCGGCTCCTCTTCTGCCAGGAGGCCGCGCGCGACAGCGACGTGAGAGACAAGATGAAGAAGCCTCGCGACAACGTGATTGCGAAGCTCAAGCGGAAGAGGGACACGCAGAAGACGGACACGAAACGAGGACCGCGGGCGCCCTCCCAAATCCCACCAGCCCTCTGGGCGTAGAACTTTGTCTTCTCTCTTTCCACAACTCCTCCTACCCCTGCTCGGGGGAAGGGTTTCCTGGTTTACCCCCCCCCTACCGCCTCCCCTGGGCCCGGGAGGAGGGGGGCACCGACCAGTTAGAGCGCCCAAAACAGTTCCAAGAGTTCCAAGATGGCTCACGATAGCTCAAGATGGCTCAAGATAGTCTCCGACATACCTCCAAGAGGCCCCAAGACGGCCCCAAGACGGTTTCAAGTGCCCGCCGAGCCCTCCAAGGCCCCCCCCTAGGAGGCCAAAATGGTTCCCAAAGCTTCCGAGGGCTTGCAAACACATTTTCCTCTCGTAAAATGCAAGGGAAAGCCGCCCCGGAGGGATTTGGGAGTTAGAAGGGATCTAACTCCCAAATTCCCCCGGGCCAGCTTTTCCTTGCATTTTACGTAGGAAACGTGCTTCTAGCATGCATCCTTGTCCTCCAGGTGCTAGCTGGCCTTTTTGACCCTCCGAGGGGGGGGGCCTGGATCCGTTACCCCCCTCTTTTGAGCCATGGGGCCCAAGACGGCCCCAAGAGACCTCTCAGACCCCCCCAAAGAGCCCCAAGAGGGCCTCAAGATCTCAGGATGGCCCCAGAAGAGCTCCAAGAGGGCCCCAAGAGGACCCCAAGAGAGCCCCAAGATGGCTCCAAGATACCTCCGAGAACCTCTCACCACAACACCTCAACTTGCCTGGGCATCGTTGTTGGATGGGCTGGTGGGGATACGCGAAGCGTCAAGAATTTCTTATCCCGTTGACTTTGCCTCTCTTCTTCCTCTTCACCCTCCCTCCTTCCCCTCCTTTTTTTCTTCCCCCTGGTCGTTCTCATCCGCGTTGCGGTCGCCCCCTTCCCCTATCCTCCTCCTCCCCCATCGTCCCCCCCTACTCCCTCCACCTCATCTCATGTTCATCTTCATCTTCCTCTTCCTCTTCCTCCTCCTCCTCCTCCTCCTGGTCGCCCTCATTTGTTTTCGCCCCGTCCTCCTCCTCCTTTCCTCCTCCTCCTCCCTCGCCCCCCTGGGCGCCCATTGTCCATCCTCCTCCCGGCTGGCCTTCGCCGCGGCCCCTTTGCAGGAGGCATCGAGAGTGTAGCGGTGAAGTCCAGCGAGTACGACGACATGATCCTCAAGCCACCCGGTGATGATTTCCTACCGATCAAGCAGTACAGGAAGAGATTTGGGTCGCCGAGCCGCCCTGCCTTGAAAAAGCTAGGACACAAGAAGGTCACTATCAGAGGAGTTCAGGGAGTCATGTTCCCCCCGGACGACCCCGACCAGCCTTGGAAGGCATTTGCGGGCTTGGGGGCGATATGTTCACCTTGTCATGGTCTGGGACAGGACTTTAAGGCAAAACTAATGTGAACAAACACCCGCCCCTTGCCATCTATGAATGCATGTTTTGTGTCTTGTCAGTCCCGGACCATCGGGCATGCGGCATGGGTCGTCCTGGGCGGTGCTCCCCAGGTGCAGCGGCTGATGGGCTCGAAGACCAGCCTCTACAGGGAGGAAGACGTCGGCTCTGGGAGTGGCGACGAGGAAATTGCCATGGCCAGGTTTGCAGAGATACAGAGACAGAACAACGAGGCCTACAGGGAGGCGCTCGGTGCGGCATCGCGCTCGCTCCTGGAGCAGTGCACCCTGGATCTCGAGGGCCAGGCGAAGGAGGCCGAGAGGGCGAAAAAGGCCAAGGCTACGCGCAAGAGGCGCAAGAAGACAGAGAGTGAGAAGAAGAGGAAACTGACTCGCCCCATCGGCGTCTTCTGCATGGACGTCGACTCCGAAGACGACTCCAACTTGAGCTGGTCGCCCGTCAGGAAGACGCCGGGCCGCGCCGCGACTGCGAAGGGCAAGCCATCTGCCGCGGGCGCAGCGGCTGCAGCCTCAGCGACGACGGCCTCTGGCTCGGGAGGCCCTTCGGCCGAGGGTGGCGGGCCTGAGGGCCCGGGCGGCGATGGCCCAGGCGACGGCGACGAAAAGGGCGGTGGCGATGAAGGCGCGAAGGCTGGTCGCGGCAGGAGGGCGATCTCGCTTCAAGACAAGACGACGGAGCTCTGGAACGAGTTCAATGGCCCGGGCACCCCCATCAACATGTGGGGCAGCCAGCAGGAGGTAAAGATTCGGCAGGTGACTCGCTGGGCGAACTCTGCCCGCACCAAGGCCACCCAGGTGAAGACGCAGACTGCCAGGGACGCCGTCGAGGTCCTTGGCAAAAGGCTCAACGTGATCGATGCGGGGTTGAAGGTAGCCAACTGCCTTCGGCAATTTCCGCCGACCTGCCATTTGAAGCCATTGCAGCGTGGTGTCGGGGAATCAGGCCACCCCCTGGGAGCGAGTCGGCTACGAGTACGAGTCGAGCGAACACGAATGAAACCAGCGCCGCGATTGCACGCTGGCGCTGCCCATGCCCATCGGCGGCTCGCGGAGCTAAGGCATGGAAGAGCAGGCCCGCGAACCATTTCCAAGCGGTCAACCTCTTCGAGGGGAAGTGGGCTCAGATGGCCCACTTCGCGGCAGCCCAGCCCACGATCGAGGTCACTTCCCAGTACCTGTGGGACCTCCGCATCAATGTCGCGGCGACCAGGGGGCCGTAGAAGGCGCCAGAGTCAGGCAGACAGCTTGTCATCCAGGAAATACAAATACAATATACCATATCTGCTTCGCCGCTTTAGATCCGCCAGCATCCCCCCCTCTGCAGGCGACGACGGCGATCCCGCCCCAGGGCGATATCCCCTTCATGTCATTCCTCGGGGCCAACCATCTGCGCAGGATCTGGGGCCAGGAGACCAACGTCGCCGACCTTCAGCGCCGCTACTTCGGCGCCTGGGCTACCTCCATCCTGAACGGCAGTGTGACCGTGGACAAAGCAAAGGACATCATCGGCCGCGGCGTGGACAGGATGATCGCGGTCATCGACCGCGGCGACTTCGACGCGCAGGCGATTGGCCACTGGCAACCTCGTCGCTTCTTCTGCCTCCTATCTCCTCTCCCTGCTAATGTTTTTTCGCTCTCCTTCACCTCTTGCCTCCCCCCCACTCCTCTCCTCTTCTCTTCGTCTTTCCCTACCTAGGCTCTGCCTAGAGGGTTCTTACTCGGTTGGCCCCAAAGAGGCCGGGCAGTGTAAATCGCTTCGGGCGGTTCCCCCAGTATCCGCCCCGCGGTTCTCCCAGTTGCGCCCCCTTTGCTCAGCTTAGCTTATCTCATCTTAGCTTGGCTTAGCTCAGCTTAGCTCAGCGCATCGTAGCAGCATTAGCATAGCATAACATAGCGCATCATAGCATAGCATAGCGTAGCATAGCATAGCATGGCATAGCGCAGCATAGCATAGCATAGCATATCATATCATAACATATCATAGCCCAGCACAGCATAGCATATCGCAGCATAGCATATCATATCATAGCCTAGAATAGCATAGCATAGCGCAGCATAACACAGCATAGCATCGCGCAGCATATCATATCACATCATAGCATAGCTTACCATAGCACAGCGCAGCATAGCATAGCATAGCGTATCATAGCATAACATAGCTTACCATAGCACAGCGCAGCCTAGCATACCCTAGCATAGCATAGCATAGCGCAGCAAATTATAGCATATCATAACATAGCTAGCTTTGTTTAGCTGGGCTTAGCGTAGCCTAGCCTAGCTTAGCTTAGCTTAACTTCGCTTAGGTTAGATTAGCTTAGCTTAGCTCAGCCTAGCCTAGCGTAGCTTAGCTTAGCTCAGCTTAGCTTAGCATATGTTAGCCTAGCTTACCTTAGCTGAGCTTAACTTAGCTCAACTCATCTTAGCTTAGCTTAGCTGAGCTTGGCCTAGCCTAGCCTAGCTTAGCTTAGCTTCGCTTAGCTTAGCTTAGCTCAGCCTAGCCTAGCTTAGCTTAGCTTAGCATAGGGTAGCTTAGCTTCGCTTAGCTCTTAGCTTACCTTACCTTAGCTTAGCTTAGCTTAGCGTAGCTTATGCTGATTTCCTTGGGGCTCCAACTCCTAGGTAGGGTCGCACTGGGATAATTCCCTCTCCTTCTTTCCCCCCGCTCACTTTCGCCCGCCGTCGCCTCCCCTCCCAGGGGGTAACATGGGGGATGCAGACGAAGGGGGATTACGATGAGGATGAAATGGGACTCCTGCCCCCCGAGCCCTCTCCGAGGGCACGGGGTCGGTGGCTGGATGGGGGAACGGGAGTTTGCCTCGTGCACTCTCCCGCCCTCGGGCACTGTCCAAGGACGTGGGGGTCGTGGCTGGATGGTGAAAGGGGCCCAGATGGGGTGAGGGCACAGTGACTCCCAACAGCATGTAGGTGGTGGACGATATCGCGGATTTCGGTTGCATAGCCCAGCTGCCGGCTCTCTCGGCCGGCAAGGAAGGGATGGATAACTTACCAGGGCATATGAGGGCCGCGTTAATCCAGATGCCACTGTCAACTTGTATGTGCGCTTCAAGGTTCTTGGCACGCCGATCCTGCGGATGGCCGAATGTCGGCTTGACGCGTTCAAAGAGCAGGTCGGTATTGCCGACGACCTGCTCAAACACATCGAAGACCTGGAGTCAGCCCTGTCCCTGTCCGAGGACTTCACCGCTCGCGTGAGCCGCATGAAGGTTTTGAGCAGCAAGTGCGGCGTGGCGGGCCCGTATATCGAGTCCCTGCAGCGTCAGGACACGGAGAACTACAACAGGCTGTGCTCGGTGCGCAATGGTTTGGCGATCGACGTGACGATCCAGGGGTGCCGCGTCTTCTCCAGTACGCTGCTGACCGCTGCTGAAGGGACAGCGCTGCCAGACCAGCCGACCCGCATGGAGAGCCTGAACATCTTCTCGGACTTTCATACAATATTCTGGTTCACCCCGAGTTCACTTGTCTTTTGATCTCATCCCCCGGCAGACATTCCGTCTCCACCTTTTCCCTGGCCCCATCCCCCGCATTCCTTTTGCGAAGTGCGGTGTGCTTCCGCGGCCCCAGGAACATCCGCTGACTTGGACCTCTTTCGAACTTCGGGTTTCTGCATGGGTTTATGGTGCACTTCTCATGTTTGGTTGGGGGTGTTTAGGTTGCCAGAACACGGCGCTGCCTGCCAAATAGTCGACCTTTCGGCGCCATCTAGGACGCTGGCGAGCAGCTACGCGGCCATGTCAAGGACACGCCTGTCACTGCGTATCAGCACGTCAAGGACAGGAGCTACATCGAAACGTTCAATTGCGTGGAGGAGTGGATGCAGCGTTGGGCCGACGGCACCTTTACACATGCAGTGGCAAATGAATTGGGAACTTACCAGGTCAAAACGATGCAGCACTTCTCATCTCTCTGCTCAGGCTTCGAGACCTGGATCGCTGCGACGAAGCCGCTCTTCGAAGACGAGAAGAACGCGGACATCAGCAAGAACATCGAACAGATCCGCTCCATAGTCACCGAAAGGATCCCACCGAACGTTGGCAAATGTCTGATGGCGGAGTTCGACAAACCCGTGGGCATTCTGAAGGACAAGTTGGACCTGTGCCGCGCCATATTCGATTCCATCGCGCCCTGCATGAGAGACGGCAGCAAGGAACTCTTTCAGAAGCTGGTGCCCTACAGGGCCGTGGCCGCGGACATCGCGGGCGCCGTCGCATCCGTCGTGGAGTTGCAGGTCGGGGAGGTCGAGACCTTGTGCGTTCAGTTCCTCTCGCATCAGCATCGGGTGACGTTGACGCTCTTGGACGTCTTCGACCCCGAGTTCGATGGCCCTATCTCGGCTCTGCGTCTATCTGGATCCTCAGTCGCCGCGATTGTGAACATGAAGATAAAGCACGAGAAGTACAGCAGCTGGTACAGCGTAGCTGCTCCGAAGCTGGGGCCCGTCGCTGCGAACTGGATCGACGTCTCAGGCCTTGCGTCCACCGCGATCGCTCTGTCCAGCGAGCTCATGACCACTGCCCTGAACGCTTTCAGCCAGCAGTTGCAGCACGCCGCCGATGAGATCGTCAAAACCACGCCTCCCACGGCGCTCGTGACTAACGTCAAGCTCGTTGTCGATGCGACGCTCCAGAAGAGTCTCGATCATCATTGATGCTACGCATCCCTCCGCCTGCCCCAGAGACCTCCCGGGCTGGGGCGAGGGGGGGGGAAGGGAGGGGGGAGGAGGGAGGAGGAGGAAGGAGGAGGAAGGAGGAGGGAGGAGGAACGGAGGGGGGAGGTTAGGGGAGAGCAAGGGGAAGGGGAGAGGAGGAGGAGGAGGAGGATGAGGAGGACGACATCGGGGGAATTGACGAGGAGGACGAGGAAGTGAGGAGGATGGGGGAGGATGAGGAGGAGCAGGGGGAGGGGGAGGGGGGTGGGAATCAGGATGGGGTTCAGAAGGCAGAGGAGGAGGAGGAGGAATGGAGGGAAGAGGAGCATATGCTGCATGAGGGGGGCGAGGGTGAGCGGGATGGATGGGGGATGGCTGGGAGGAGGGGCGGGGCTTCCTTCTCCCCATTCCCTTTTGAAGGGGGAGTGGGGGGGAGGAGAGGGCGTCGTTATTTAGCTCCTCAGGCTTCGAGCCCGTGCCCGCGCGGTCTGGGCTGGCGGAGGCATGCGGCGCGCTCACCAGCTCCAAGATGCTCTTCACGGCGGGCTCGCTGCTGAACGAGGTGAAGAAGCTCGACGAGAGCATTCCGAGCGCCAAGAAGATGGCAGGGCGCGTCGCGTTGAACACAGCCCGCCGCGGAGGGAAGCTGGCTCTGGGCGTCAACTGGGCGGTGCAGCAGCTCGCTGGCTTCGTCCCCACCGCAGAGGGTGACATGAAGGCTCGCATCCCTGAGGGAAGACAAAGATGCGGAGGAGGGGGTGAATCATGAGACATAAGGCACAGGAAGGATGGGGATGGGAACGGAATGGACAGGAGTAGGAAGAGCTGTGATAGCGATGGTGATTGATGGTGATGAGTGTGATGATGACAAAGATGGCAATGACGATGAGGAGGAGGAGGATTGGGGAGTGGGGGAGGAGGTGGAGGAGGAGGAGGAGGTGGATGAGGAGGAGGAGGAGGAGTTCAACGAGAGGGGAGAGGGGGGGGACCGGGCGATTCGGGTGGCCAGCCGGAGTCGTAGGGAGGATGGGCACGAGGTTGGTGGGCGAGGAGTGGGCCGGGGTACGAGGGCGAGGAGGAGGAGGAGGAGGGGGAGGAGGGCAGCGTCGTCGAAGAAAGAGTGATCATTTCGTAGACGTCTTCATCGTCCTCCTCCTCCTCCTCCTCTTCCTCCTCCTCTTCCCCCCCCCTCCGCCAACTCCTCGTGTCTCCACTCCTGCTCGCTTAATCCTGCTCCTCCGCGTCTCACTCTTCCCCCCCTTTCCGCGCCCTTTCCCTGGTCCCCGCAGCCCTCGTCGCCCCCCTACCGGAGGCGCTCGCGATCAAGATTGAGACCGACCTTGGCAACAAGGGCATCGGTGGCAAGGACCCGCTCCTTCCTTTGCTACCCCCACCCTCCCCCACTTCGGCGCCGCTTTCCTGCTCCCCCCATGTGTGCCGCTGCTGCGCTTATCCCTCCCCTCCCACATCTTTCGACTCGACCTCCCCCTCTAACCCTCTGTTTCTCCTCCTCCTCCTCCCCTTCCT